TATGTCAATATCCTCTTAAACATTTTAGGAAATCATAAAATATATAAAGAAGAAACAAGAAAGGACATAAAATTGTGCCTTTTGGAATGCCAGAAGTTAAATTGTGTCTGATATTTCCAAACTGATTTTTTTGCCAGCGATTTGGCAGATACAAACGAAATAAGATTTAATGATGTTTCAAGGAAATGATAAAAAGTTGATGTTATATTCTAAACGAAACGGCTTTCATTTACATATCTGTTAAAAGTATTTAGAAATAAATCATCAACAAAATACGATTTATATTAATAATAAAAATACAATTTTGATAACAGAAATGAATGTATGAACGCTTTAGGATAAATAAACAACATGTGGCAATGACAGTACTCATCGATATTTGTAAAATGTACAGAATATCATTGACAGTACATTAACAAACTGTTTTTCCTATTTTCGAAGTATATAGATAATACATGTTAAAAGGATTAAATGCATTTTTAAGAATTACGCTGATACTTAATATAAAAGCTCATAAATTTTGTTAGGTAATTTGTTTAGATTAATTTCATAAATATCGTCAAATTACAATGAAATCCAATAACTAAACAAGTTATTAAAGTCGATTTACAAGTGGCGTTTGAGAACCTTTGAAAACTATCTTTTAACCAAGCTCTTCTGCTCTTGCCGATATGCAGACATAAAATTGTGATTCAATTGTTACGTACGGACGTTACGACATATTTGTTTCAAAATTTTGCCCCATAGAAAAAAGTTTTGCAAGCATTACGTGGATAGCAAGTTAGTTACAATGGCAAATTATAATATTTGAAAAAAGACAAATATTTACCTGGAACAAAGAATTTGTAAGGCTGCGTTTTTTATACATAAATTTATATAGATATATTCAAACTATAACAATGCCTTCCGTATGATAAAAAATGCCTGATAACTACATTAATAATGAGGATGCATAGAAATAAAATAAAAGCGTTCGTGTAGTAATTTCCAGTAATTTCTGTAAACCTGCTAATGAAAACATACCGTTAAATTGTCCTTACACCCTTTATATGTATTATTTACTGGTCGATATGATCGATATGAATATTAAGAATAAAAGACAAACAGGTTGATAATTTTGCATAATCTATAAGGGTGTGTAATTCCTGACCGAACACAAGGTAATTTAATTCATTTTATTTATTGGCAATAACGCATTTTAAATTCTTTTGACCATTTGATCATACTAAATATGGACATGACACACAGTTTATATAAATATTACACAACTAGGAACACATTTAAAGTTTGATTATTTATACATATAATATAAAAATATTAATAATTAAGATAATTTAGATAATTTAAACAAAGAGAATTAAATATTAAAAACAGCAATTAGAAGGTTTAAGTTCTTAGCCTATTTGCTTCTGTTATAAACATTTTTTCGACACTAATTCTATTAATTATTATTAATTAGATGACATAATATTAATAAACTTTTGGACTGAAGGCCAAGCATTATTTGCAAAATGTTTTTGTCATCAATCAAAACATTTATTATAACATTAATTAACATTATTATTCTTTTATTAGAAACATTTATAAAAATTGGTACCCAGATTCAACTGATTGTGATGAACAGAATTTACAGATACGATTTCGTCTTTCAATGCAAGTATATCTACCTACTTCAATTTCAAGATCATATGCTGATATCCCAAGCTCTCTTTAAAACTAGTTAAGCTGTCTAAATATCTTTCTCAGCAAAACTCAACTTAAATTGTTTATAATATTCAAGTTGAGCTACATTATAAACTTCCATTTTCACGTTTGGGATAAGCTGATCTTGTAGTAAAATTCCAAAATATTTACAAGAAGATAAAATAGAGAAAATAATAATCCCATAAGAAGGCCCAACACGACAAAATTAAAAATGTTGCAGGTTCGGTTTGATTGAGCCTGTTCATGGACGATACTAATGCAAACTACCGACCACGCCCCCTAGCATCGGCTTAAGCAGAATTCAACATTTAACATGAACTGGTACAATTTTAATTTTGAAACATCCGCAGATGTGTTCATATGGCGGTTATCATGGAACCTTCAATGTGACACCATTCCATGAAAAGCGGCACATGGTCCCCAGGTAAAAACATGCGTGTACTCTAAACGAGAAAACATTGGGCGGAACTAAATGAAATGGAAATTTGAAAGGGGATCAGAGATTATAAAGCTGCATATCACAGATAAGACGTCAAAAGACATATCTAAAAACAGGCCACATATCCTAAGGCTGATTTAACAGTATTCAAGTGCGGATTACAGGAACCACTCAACATTGAACATTAAACCGAAATCACCTAAACTATCAGGTAACTTTAAAGCTGCACGCCTCCAGATGAGCCAAACTATTTCAAGAAAATGAAAATTGAGAAAAATGTACTAATATTTCAAGAACGGTAAAATAAATCAAGATCAATGTTGAAGTTTACATGTTATTTGCGATTTAAGACTGATTTTGCAGTATTTAATCACCATATTTCTACTGCGTTACAAACGCAGTAAGGGCTTTTTTGCACATTTTGACCTCTTTTTGGTTATTTGCATGGATTGTAAGTGCCAAATGTAAATAACTTTATTTCTTCACCATCACAATATTTTACTGTCAAATACATAATCAAAATTTTCATGAAATTTAACATGAATCTCGAGGCGTGCTGCTTTAAATTCTTTTTCCACCAATAATTTGCGTTCTGAAAAGAAACATTGCTCTCTAAATATTCTATACATAGCCATGTGTTGATTACCAGTATTTATAATAATGTACTCACATTTGTTATTCAAGTTATACTTACAAAAAAGATCATATTTATGATTATGATTCATGAGAAGTGAGAGAACTTTCTATGTAGAAATGGAACGCTGAATAAAGTTGTCTCCGGTTTCCTTTCAAAATATATTTCTGACTTATAAAAATGAATGGTATTAGATTTCATAGATAAAAGAATCTTATAAATCATGTCTTGATAAAGGCAATAAATATCGTAACATGATGATTCGGAACCTAAATTGCACTAATTACAGCTCATTTATTAAAATCTATACTATAGTTCACATTTAAGAATATGTTAGAGGGAAAAAAGACTTACGGTTAGCTCAGTAGGTAGAACGTTGGCATGTAAATTTGGCGACCCGGGTTCGATTCCCGGACAGTGCAGGTCACTTTCGTTTTGATTGATCATGGAATCTTTTCTACGGTCATTTGCACTGTACCTCTGCTCTGACATGTACAGAAAGTTCAGATTCTTGTGGAAGTGAAGGCAACTAGTTCTGGTACACTGCTTGACCACCTGTCCGATGTGGTGGTTGAACTGTTCTCTGGTAAATTAAATGACTCTTACTTCTGTGATCCCGAGTGAGACTACCAACAACACCACAAACACAGGCCCGTGTGCATGGAAGCCTTGGACGATACAGTACCTACCCTTTAAAATGGATGCAGTTTTTGTATTTATGCAAGGAAATAATCGAATGACATAGTTAGTATCTTATGTGACAAACATTACTTTATTTGTTTTGTTTTCTAGTGTCAAATACTATAGATATTTACTTTTCTCTTTAACTCATAAGACAGAATATTTACTTGCAATACGAATGAGGTGTTGGTTGGCACTATCCTGTTTATAACGAAACGCTTTTAGTTAAGATGTAACGAAAATGAAAAAAGAAGTATGCCAAAAGACAAATATTTGCAATGTTTCTTGTACAGTTAACTATATGTTCCTCTTAATATAATATGTATTATAATCTTATAACTATTTTGGCATTAAGAATAAGCCGTTGATGATAATAAGCACAAACAAAAAAGATCTCCTAAAACAAACGCGTCATTTGAAATGAAAACTATATTGCACTAGTCTATCATAGCTTTTGTAATATCATTTTGCATATCATTTGGAATGATTGTTGTCTGTCATTAATACTACAAAATGAACTGTTCAAAGTAATAATTTACAGAATGCCACCTCAGACAATTCAAGTGTCATCGAAGACAATAAAATGGACATTGGGTTTAGAGAGGTATCGATCCAGCAATGTTTGCATAAAGTGCACGCAATTGCTGGGCATTAAAGAAGAAACGACAAAACAAATTAGTAATACTGATGTTTTTGTGAGAATTTAAAGCAAAATTAATAGTCTTAATAAGATATGAAATATCCATTTGGTAATATTGAAAGAATCAAAACAACATATCCGCCTAAATTTATTTATCCGTCAGGGCACAGTTCTGTGACCCATTATTTAAACTGGTCCAGGGTATGTGTCTATGCGATGCCAGGTGGCAAAGCATAATGTTATACAGTTACTAACGTAATATGGACTTGTAATAATAAAGGAAACTTGATACATACGATACGAAACACAATGATATTTTATGTTGTCAAGTACGGATAGTTCATTGTATTTATGTTAACGTTTAATGATAAACCACCTTGGATGCTTATCATATAGCTATAGACAGTTATTACAAAACTTTTAATGTGACACGTTCGTGGCATTCAAAAAGGTGTCTGGTCATTAATACACGTAAATAGCGGGCTAGAAGGTAATGATCGGCCCTCGGGCTGAATTCCTTGTGGCATTTTTTTCAACCTATACTACTATTACCATTCATATTTAAACAATATTCGCTACTTTGCATTTAAAGAATTGTACATACATGTATTAAGCAGTCAATAATCTAATTCTATTTATACGAGTATACAATAGTTTGCCCTACATATATGATATACGATACTCTACTTTTAATAATACATAATATATATTTGTGAACAAAATATAAAGTCGTATTGAAATGCTACTGTCTCGTGAATAAATGCTTAGGTAAGTATGTATACAAAACTATAAACCTTGTCGTAAATGTACTTGAAAACCATTAACATGAAGGTTAGATAAAGAGGTGTAACGTTCCACATTCAAACTTTAAACGGTCTCATATCTTACGAATGAAGTAATGTACATGTCATCTGATAACTTTAAAACGGATTCACAAAGTATCGTTTAGTGGAATTTAACATGTTCTCACAATGTAACGAGCTATTAATAGAAACATGTTTAACTCATAAAGACATTGATATTATATTCAACGATATTTCGTCACAACAGCTAAAGTTTAAACAAGGAATATTTTTCAGTTTAAACAAAAGTAGGATTTTGTTTGGACACTTGCCAAATTTAACTTCAAATCTTTTGTACGCAATTCATAAAAATGGAACGTGTTTATCTGGGCATGCCAAGCAAACACTTGTCAGTTTGTTTCGGGAAAGGCGAAATGTTTTGATAATTTCAGTTTTTGGTGAATGCATGCTTGTATCAAAGAACGACATATTGGAAGTATTATGGAACAAAATAAGAAGAGAACTTATTAACGGTAACATTATCAAACGCTGGATCGGCAGGGACGTATTTATGACGTTATTTGTTGTTGACAACAGTTGCTACGAAGAAGAATTAGATAACATAGAATTAAAATCGACTCGTATAACAACTGGAACAGGATACAGTAAAAGGGAACCAAGAAACAAAAACGTGTACAACAATAACAAAAAGAAGAGAGAACGTATGTCTGTTATTATATTAATAAAAAGTATATTATATTTAGAAACTTGATATTGAAGAGTAAAATATAGGTTATATAAAAATTACATTTACTTGCCTCATCAAATTTCGTCGATATCAAACTTAAACCGCTGTATATTTATTCAAGATAAAATCAAAGATTACACTTAAATCAGTACACCTTGTTTCGTTCTTATCTAGATAAAATTAATGGCGGACATTAAAGGAAGCCATGTTTAAGACGGCTAGTTTAAAAATAAATTTTACGTGCCTTACCACAACATACGAAAGGGAATATATTCGTAGCTCTCATTATAATATGTATCCAATATAAATCTCCATTCAGGCTTTACAATTAGATAATGAACATTTGTATTTAACGCATTGTTTATATCATTTTCCCCCAGATGTTTCAACAACAAGACCAATCGATCCGCGTCAGATTCATACAACGACAGTTGTCGATGCAACAGTTGTCGATTCAGCGCTTGTTGCTTATCCATTGCACAGACAACATTTCAACAAACCTAAATACAACGAGACCAATGAGGAAAAGTTTCCAACTCAAGTTACGGAAATTGATTCAGGGCAACCTTCTTTTGAGTCAAAATTTTTACCCAGGTTTGCTAACGACAGTTCTAATGGTCAAGTTAATTCATCTGCAGTATCAACAGCTTCTGACGAAAGACATAAAAGAACCGACTTAACATTAGTAACATCAAGCTCACGGATACCTTTGTCTCTTAAACCTCCGCGGTATCCAGATTTTACAGATCAACAATGTAGGTTGTTGTCGTTTAATTCTTCAAGTTGGGCAGGGGACAGCAAACCTGATAAATCTTCTTTAGTAGCTTGCGGGTTTTTCTACACAGGTAATATAAATAAAGGTTACACACATTTCAAACAATTAACAATAACAAAAGTCATGCCTTAGAAATGCTATCATTTTTATTTCTCACAATCTTTTATTGTTTTGGTTTATTTCCGAAAAAATAACTCAATTGCCACATGAATATTATCTCTTTGTTTCTTTTGATTTATTGACAATTGGTATTATTAAAGTAAATTAGTATTTTATATGGAAGTTAATATACTACTTTGTTAATAATTTTTGCTATCTTTATGACACATAACTACGAGTTCAGTGTTACTTTCTTCAATTGTTCAATTGTTGAATATCTAACGTGCTCCAAATCCATCATTTAAACATTATAAAACACATGTTTGATATTTCTTAAGAATTAAAAATATGGATTTCTGAGGCATAATGAGCCTTGAAATTATGTATCTACTTTTGATAAAGGATGTATAGGATACCTTTATTGGATACATAATTGTAACAGATTAAATATAAAATATTAACATAATTATATTGCATATCTAATAAGATCAATTAAATTTGTAATATTTTGAATAATTTATAAGACCTAATTAATATCATCAATGCTTGTAACAGTTTATAAGTCCGCATTTAGACTTGCCATTTTTAGAACAATTAGTAACACTGAACATAGATTTGCATATTTTGAGTGTGACCTGTCTTGACAAGAGATATATTATCTTGTTCCGCACAGTTCCGTTCAACTGCGTTCAACTTCGAATATACGATGACCTTTATCAATAACGATAACACTCTCAAAGAAAAACAACAACAACGAAATTCGTTTCATTTACCATCTATTTCGTCCCCATGTACATTCTTAGATACTTTTTCGGTTACAGTCTATGCATCTCAATCCGGGAGTTGATAGTATAAGCCCTGCAGGGGCCCTGCTCATGTGTCCTTGTATGACACCAAGTACTTGTCATGTTCAACAAAGTGGACCTCGAGATTGATTTAAATAAGCTGTATTTATAAGATTTCATCACAATCGGGTGCGAATTAAGATATTTGAAACAAAACATTTTGTTGTTTATGTTGTTTATTTGTAGGAAACCAAGATTTAGTTAGATGTTTTCAGTGTGGGATAGGACTAAAAGATTGGACTAAAGAAGATGATCCAATGAATGAACATATTCAACATTCGACGTCTTGTAGTTTCTTAGTGCAAAAGTTTGGGAAGCACGAACTAGATCAAATGAAGGTTCGACTCATATTTGCTTTTTGTAAATTTTGTAAAGAAATATTCTGCATTCAGTTATATTAATCAAACAATACAGCACAAATGAAAGAGGCAATGTAACAGTTATTTTCATATCATCATTTAACTGAACCACAAACTAACAAATTGTTTATTCTAAGTTTAAAACAGGTAATCCTAGTTTGCAACCGAGCCATCCCATTTATACATGTATTTTAGTATTTGGGAGTACCTGTGTTAACCATATCAACAATTTGTATTATTAACTTCATTATATTTTGCAGCGGGCACTTGTTCGAGGTAAGCTTTATATCTTTACGGTAGTTAAACTTATAAATATGGATTTATGAATAAGCACCTAGAATAAATACAATATCCTTTTACAAAATTATTCAACTATTAAAGTTCTAAATTTGTTTACATACTTTATATTTATGGAGTACTTGGTTGCTCGTATATTATATACTGACATACATACCTACTTAATTAGTGTTAGTATTACCTTTTTACTTATTACAATAAACGACTTTAATGTTAATTAGGAATTTCAGACAACAATATAGATGCCGTTTCTACAAACCCTTCACCATTACAATACCCGATCAGATCGCCTCGCTATCAAACAATGGAAGCAAGAATTGCGTCATTCCAGAATTTTCCTAAACAGATCAGTATATCTCATCAGAACCTTGCTGTGGCAGGACTGTTTTATACTGGTAACATAGTAGTACTTATTAGTATTAGTAATATTGATTACGCTGTTTTTTCCCTGACGTGTATGACATTGTTGATTTCTGTTTTGACGCACTGGCATCATGGACAAAACAAACAAAATATCTAAATCAGCGAAATATACTTTGATAAAAAAATGGAAATATACTTAGATCAAATTAAAAAGGAAATATAAATACACTAGAAGTTAGATCAAGTAAAAGAATGTCATTGTAACGTTTTCAATCCAAATTTCAATTTCCTCGTTAAAATTGAATAATGCAAAGTAATAAGTATGATGACAATATTTCTAAAATTTATATAATTAAGAACGAGAAAAGATAAAAATGCAACAGTTTAATTTAATTAATTTAACTATGCAAAGTAATTCGTATCATTCTTAATGAAGGCCAAGGAGATCTTTGTCGTTGTTTTACATGCGATGGCGGGTTAAAGGACTGGAGTTCTGGAGACGATCCCATCAAAGAGCATGCCACATATTTTCCAAATTGCTCATACATTATAAAGTTGAAAGGACAAGAATATGTTCGTTTGCAACAACAAGGGCGCACAGATAATCAACAGAGGGTACGAGTATAATTGCTGATTTTTTAAAATTTATTTTTCAAGTTTATTTAATATATTTAATGACTATTATGTGTGCATGAGTGAAAATAGCTTTACTATTTTTGTATCCATTTATTCTTACTTAACATGCATGTGTGTATTGAATTTAAGTGGAAATGGGTTGTTTCAGTGTTTGTTATTTATGAACATAAAAATGATTTGAATATACCGTTAGATATACTCGTATTACCAATGAACAACATTCCTTATAATGCTCAGGTCGATATGAATATTCTGAATTAAGGTCAAACAACTTGAGTGTTGACATCATCTATACTATTGATCTTGGCAACAATGTTCTTTGCCTGTTTCAGGGTGCTGAAGGTGGTAACAATATATCGACGAATCCGATACAGACACTACCAACGTCATTTGAAAATATGTCAGTGCTTGACACAAATCCAGAATGTAAGATTTAGTATAAATTTAAACAATATAAGCCGACGCATGATTTTTTTACATTACTTAGTGACGGGATAGATATCAATCATGGGTGTGATGTTGTAGAATAATGCACAGTTTGAGTTCAAATGGGCAGGAATTATTATCACGAAGGCTGACAGGTCTGAGTAATTAATTAAAAAGCATATGAACCATAAACCATGTATGAGTATCATTTTCATTCTAACATGCTAATAAAAAAGAATTGGTGAAAATATGTTGAACTAAATTGTGCATAAAAGTAATTTTCATGACGTCATTTTGTTTACTGACGTCAAATCTGACTCCATATGACGTGTAAGCATTCCTTTACAACACGTTCGATGTACATATGTTTCGATTTAAATGTCAGTTACTCAAACATAAGTCCTGTATAATCTTACTGTTACTATGCAAGACCATCAACTTTTAATCTTTTTCTTACATAGTCATACATATGATATTTCTTTTTTGTAACGTCATACTTAAATGCTATATGATATCGTCTGAATCGGCACCTTAGTGCTGTAACGAATTAACTCCTATTACATTATATAGTGAGCTAACCCGTCAGCGTACTGAGGTGACGATATGTTAATGTTTCGTTAAGTTGGCTATTGTAGTCTCCATATATTGTGCATTGAATAATACAATTTTATATTACATTTCAACTTTTAAAGCTGTATTCAACATTTATATTTCAAATCAGACACTATATCCTTTTAGGTTTGAATAAATGTACCTGCTTAATGCAAACACACGTGATAATTCAATTATATTAAAATTTATACACTATATTTAAACACACATTCTCCTTTGTTCGGTACAGTAATCAATTAAAGTTATTGTCCCTGTTTTAGATTCAAGTTTCAACGTTAGTCAAGTTGTACAGAAGCTTGGGTATGCGGAGATCGATGTTATAACTGCAAAAGCTGAGTTAGAGAGGAGAGGTAATCAATTACAAAAAGAAATACATACACCAAACAAAGACATACATAAATTACACGTTCTTCTTTTACTTTCTAAAAGCAGTACATTGCGTTTATTATAACTGCATGCGGAGCCTTTATTTCAAAGAGATTAATAGATTTGATATTTGTTGATATTGAGTATTTTATTGTTTAAAATCACAGCACTGGCTGGTTCCAGGTACTGATGAACAGATTCAAGAATGTGCCTATATGAAAATAGCTACCAACGAAATCGAACAAAAAAGTTTGTATGAACAAAAACGCTGTTTTGACAAAAAAGAAAATTGAAGAACTAATCTTATCTACAATGAGAACAAGTGAAAATCATTTTAAAGTTTGAAGGTGATACTGTGTAGCAAATTGATTTATGTTGTTTATTTATTCATCATTGCTAAGTTAACTGCTTCTCCTTAAGCAATATTAAAAATTAATTGTTTACACATATCTCAGTGAATATTATATTTCATAACACACATGAGATCTGACAATTTAAATCACAACATATATTAGGGTTAAACATGTAAAGCAAAATTATGTTTTAAACCTCTTTATTCTTATTTAAGGCAACAAGTTTCCAACAGCAGAAGACGTTGTCAATACTATTCTTGATTTACAAGAGAGTGCGTCGGGTTCTCAAAACACACCTCAATCCGCAGAAAATGGAAACGGTGTGTATTGCATTCTTTTTTTCTTGAATTCTATCTTTACTGTTTTACTTTGTCTTGTCATATCTTCATAAAATGCTTGAAAATATTATTATTATTAGGTAATAAATGTTAACCAATACCTTAAAATCTACAATCAAAATCCCTGGCAGCAAAACTATAAAAACTTTTAATCTTGAGATCCACTTTCATATTTCTTTGATTTATTTCCATGTTAAGAAATATTATAAATGATTGGACATGGTCGGCGTTATAATTGAAAAAAGACAAGAAAAACATCGCAAAACATATTTAGCTGAATGCATAAAGTTACTTCTAAACATTATGGATAGTCAATAGTATGTACAATTGAATGTAGCAGATACAATTTCTATTTATGAAGTATCTGAAAATTATTTGCTTTTATATTCAAGATGTAAATGCAATGGTGGAGGAAAACGAGAAATTGAACCGTTTGGTCAATTGTATGCTTTGCGTACCTGGGGAGGCAAACATTTTATTTCTGCCGTGTACGCATCATCGTGTTTGTCAGGACTGCTCTAAGGATATTACCTATTGCCCTGTCTGTGGTATGTTTGTCAAACAAAAGGTCAAAACCTTTCGAGCATGAATAAAACAAAAAAAGAAAAAATATTAAACTTCTATATCTTTAAAAGCTTTATACATACATATCAATAAATAAAGATAACATTTTGTCACAGTCTACGTTGGAACAAAGTGGTCTACATGAAAATTTGTCAGTTGTGGACGTATTTAATGATAATAATGAGAATAAGTAACGATTTAACAAACAACAACAACAACAACAACAAAAACAAAGCAAAAAGAAAAAAAAGCTGAAATACGACTTTGTGCAGACTTTGAATAAGTGTTATTTGGAAAATTCAACATGGATCAACATACATGTACGTCTTCAACTAAACATCTTGTTGAAATAATGGTACAAGGAAGGGACTATGTCCACTAGATACCTTTTGCAGCTGAATTAGCTACCTGAATGGGCGTGTTTTACGCTGTCCAAAGGGGTTGCTACTTTAGCTGCGGGAGGATTGTCAACAAAAAACAGACACTGTGACTACAAGAACGACTTCCAACGTATAAGCAATAGGATACTTATTGTTTCAGATGTTCATTTATTATAATTTTTGTCGAGATATAATTTAATTCATGTTTAAATAATACATACAGTTTTCAACTCCACTTAAAAAGTGGAGATATTGTCATTACCCTCTCATCGGAATTAGTGTTAGTAAACATTTTCGTTTGTATTAAAAACTATAAAAGTTATTGACTTCAAACTTGATATACGTGTTAATTGTCACAAAAGGACGTTATCGCAAAAGAACAGATAAGCCTAAAATTACTTGAGACAAAATTATGCCCCTTTTACAAGATAGATCTTAAGCACTTATTAACCTTTTTGTTGAGGTCCCTTTTCTAAGAAACTATCAAATTAATTCACCTCAAACTTAATTTGCATGCTCACAATCAAAATATGATACAGAAGTGTTGATAATTCCAAAGAAAAGTACGTTATACTCATAATACTTTTTTAGTTTTTGAATTGGAATGCATTTCGAAATAGCAGGTAAGTTTATAACCTTTCTTCAACAGTTATTCCCCTTATTGACTTTGAATTTCTAGATAAACTTTTTTTTATTAAGTAAACATATCTCAAAAATTCTAGGATAATCACTTTAAACTTAAAACACGTGATTGTTCACTATAAAATTTGAAATGCATTTCAAAGAGTCAAATATTGCTGAAATCCATGTGGCTGAATTATGTCCCCTTTGCACGTAGATATATTGACTTTTACTCAAAATATGTTAAAGTTATTCACCTCAAACTTAAAATATTTGTTGACTTTCAAGAGCGAGTAAGTCAGCTATGCATGTTTGCATAATTATGTCCCATTTTCTATATTGATTTTATTAATTATCCACCACTAAGAAAACTACAGCGCTGTTTGCCGACAGCTTTGGTTAAATAATATATTATACTTGGTGTTTTACTTATGTTAAAAATATTGAAATGTATTAAGTTACGGTATATAGTTACTTATTGTACGTATGATATGTTGAAACACATATTTTTTTAGGTCCATTCTGTGGAGGCACCTTATTAATATATATCTTGATAAATATATTTTGACATTGGGCTTTGGGGACAAAATGTAAATATTTTAGTTTTAAGTATTACACATAATTTATATAAAACATAACTTGTATTCAAGAAATAACATATATCACGTTAACGTGAAGAGAGTTTTACTATGGTTTGCGGCTTGTGGTAAATGTAATAATTATTTTAGGGAACACGTACCCCGTCTAGAATTTGAAATTGTCACTGATCTTCGGTTTTGTTTCGTGACTTGTCTTTATATATATCATTGTTCTTAAAATATGTATCATATTTCAATATGACAATGACAATGTAAAGCTTGTAACAAAGAAAAAAAGTATCGATATCCATTTCAGAAAATGCGCATGACATGTGATCATTGAATGTCTCGATAAAACATGTTGCAAAAATGCGCCATTAAAATCCGTATTCAGATCATAAATATCATAGAAGTCCTTTTTTATTATTTTGTTTGCTTTGTACCAGTATAAATTAACAAACTCTACTATTAAATTCATTCATCTTGCTAAATAGTAATGGAAATTTATAAGTGCAAATTTTTTATGCGTAGTATAAATTTGTACACATCTAGGAGCACGTCTGTTTGAAGGTTTAACAACGCTTAATGTTTGTTGAAAAATGTTATGTGTTTATTTATCATACAAACTGTGTCAATGTTTCAAATGCTGACAGCCATTATTTTCATTAATTTAAAGCAAAGATTATTAATAATTAAGCTATAGCTTATGATTTTTCTTCTATATACATTTCATTAACAGTAAAGTTATATTGATTCGATGATTTTATGGTCGATTCTCAATATAGCGGTTGCATAGCATGTCTCTTCTACATAACACACGCATATATTACATATAAGCAGAGTAAAATATTATGAAACAAAATATTATTGTTCTTTTTCTAGTAGAGTTTTAACCGTTAAGCAGTTATTTCGTGAAAGAACCATTCGCTTTCAGATAATATATAGATCAATTTCTGTCATCCAGTTTTCAAGTATACTTTTTCAAGATTAATAATGATTTAATCAAATATATAGCTGTATACACTTAAAGGAAATAAAAAATGATTACGTAAAGTATGATGTATTTCACTTTTTTAAACTGGTACTTTATATATTCTGCATCGACTATGCTTTGGTAAGACTAAGGTCACATAGATTAGATTGTTTTATTGACAAACAAAACATGCCCAATAAAAAACGAAATGGAAATTTGAATTGGCAGCAACAATATTTGAGTATTATGTTTGATGAACACTTAAATAAAATGGCAGGTTTATATAATACCAATAATATAAGAAGAAAATATAGCCCATTAGAAAATAAGAAAATTAACTCCTGTTAGACATGTTACTGTTGTAAAAACCTTGTTACTCCTCTTGTTTACATCTCTTTTTTCAGACCTCTAAAAATATATATTTTATATAGGAAGAGAAAACTGTAATAGAGAATTAAACTGAAAGAATCATTTTTAGATGAAAGAAGATGTATCTTACATGTTGATTGTTTGAAATTGCTCTAGCCGCAAGAGGTATGTTGCACTTGGATAGAGTAAATGCTTAGGCCTAAGATAGAGCAAATGTTTATATAGTAGATTAATTGTTCTGTTGGAACGAATATGATGAAATATATTAAATAGAAAAAAAAAATATTCTGAAAAGTCGTTGTATATACTTTAAATGTATTAATTTTATTGTAATAACCACTATTATAATTATTACCTTATATGTAATATTACATTAAATATAATTATAATTATATGATTTTACTAAATATAATTATAATTATATGATTTGATAAGTAGAAATCTTCCGTTTAAAAAAACATTTTTTTTTTTTAATTTTTGGGAAAGATATTGTGAATTAGCAAGAAAACTGTTAACTTGAATATATACCGTATAAGTACTTATTATTCATTGTGTAATGACGTTTTTGACAAAAATCATGTTTGCAAGATACAATTTGAAACCAATCTGAAAAGCTGCATGTTTAAGGATAATATAATTCAAAGTTAACCGTCTATTTATTTCATTGGAAGAAAAATGTTGGTACATTATTTAATGTCAAAACTAATATACACATAAATGGAAATTTTATAGGAGATCAATGGGAATTTTATATGTTTAACATACAACGGGAGATGTGTGGTCTGCAGTTTCTTTAAGTATCTTGTTTAAACACATGAATTACTTTCTATATTAACACCTTCGATATATTAAATCATTTTTCTATATTTTTTTTAGCTAGCTATCAATAACAATTCTAATCAATTAATAGGAAATATGCAAATAAATATTCAACGTCATGTCAACTGCTACGATTTAGATGGCAAAAGTCAAAGTGTTGATAGGTTTACACAATTATTTACCGTATTTAATAGTGATCTTATTTAGGATTTTCATATAGCAAAAACAAGCTTACGTTATAGTCGAATTTTTTCCAAGAAATATTATGCATATTTTAAGGTAGCATCCGGAGCAAGTACAACATATTCCTTCAACATTCTGCCATTAAAATAAGGTAGCAATCCTAATCCGATATATTCAAGACGATACATGTTTATATAAACCTGATTTGTAAGCATATTTCCACAGTCTTTTTTTTATTAAGAAATGCATGTGTAAATGACAGAAGTGCTAATTTCCTGTAAAATTATTATCAAAACATCAATGCTGAATTATTACCGAAAAGGCAACGATTTTAGTATCAATATTTTGAGTTTTTGTGCGCTCGGAAAAGGAAGGGTTGGCTATTTTTGTTGGAATATAGATACAAAAGAAGGAATTTTAGTTCACCAATCATATGTCATCTTTATACAAATGATTTGATCACATTTCTAATAACCATCCTTCTTGCCAGCAATGTATATTATTTAAATTGTTTAATGATATGAATTCCGCAATTTTTACATTTTATGTAGGAAGTTTTGGCTACAGGTACAGCGATTAAGTTGAACTTGTTTATTTTAACTTGTGCCATAAAATTACTTGTTTGAACAAAAAACATAAATATATAGTTTGGACCGACTGACAGAATGTAGAATGATACCACTATATAATTGCAACAAATTGCCGACACTATTATCTATGCCAAATAACAGGTATCACTTTTTCATTTCAACAGTGCGTTACTTTTGTGTATTTGTAATAAATGTGAAAATTGATTAAAAGGAATTTAATATAATTAGTTAAAAATTGATTTTTATGAAAATAATGACAATGGAAGAGTTCCTGGAGGTGTGCCTGTTGCGGAAATAGTGTGCTGGACGAAAATCAACATTTTCGAGATCACATAGTGAAATAAAAAAATCTTTCAAATCAGGAAAAGGTTGAGGTAGGGTGTTTAATACCGAGTATGGTGTCCGCGGCCTGGCCTGGCATCACCGCCGCATGCTGCTGATGAGCCTGCGGACCTTGTGCTGAGGAATCTGGGTCCATTCCTCTATGATTGAATGTCTTTGCAAGGGGGTATGAGGGATGTTGCACGTATTCATTGTCCCTCATGTACAGACTCAATTAAACCGAATCTGCAATTCTCTTGTTATTTTGTTGTGATTAATGCTTCCGAGGGATCACTTTTTTCCAGAATTTCAGCTCCTGAACTGTTGTTGGTTGGACGTGGCGTAAAGAAATGGCTTTCTGCAGCATATACCAAACATGCTTAATTGGATTTAAATCCGGGGACCTCGCTGGCCAACCGATGCGGACTATAGTTGCCTCCTCAAGATATCGGTTTGTGATGTGGGCTCTGTGTGCACGGGCGTTGTCATACATAAATATGAAATCAGGGCCGACTGCGCCAGCTTACGTGCGTACATTGGCGTCTTAGATTTCATTGAAGTACCATACTGCCGTCAGTGTACCGTTTTCTATGAGGTCCTTTTTCCCCTTGAGCGCTTATTCCCGCCAACACCATGACCTGTCAAAGGAATGCGAATTGCTGGCCTCCGTGACCTCAACCGAGCATCATGCAACATGTTTCCTACAGTTTGTGTGCTTTCATGCACACAAGTTGCATTCTGGAAGTCGTTACGTAAGGTCGAAGCGTTCGAGAACCGTTGACGCCTGGCCTGAAGGACAATAAATCGGTCCTGGGCTTGAGTCGTTGAACGTTTCCGACCTCCGGCGTGGCCCTGCAACACATCCAGTCATTTGGAATCGGTTCCACATCCTGGAGACAACGCTCTTGGATACCCAAAGGATATGGGCAACGTGCCTTTGTGAACGGCCAGCCTCCAACATTCCAATTCCATTGTTAATCTCATCTTCACTAAGACGATGTCTAACCTGTCGATTTGCCATAGTTTGTTAATTTCGAACACAGTTTTACAATTAAAGAGAGAAGTCTTGCTGCTTGAACACGTTTAAGTGAAAGCACATGGCCAAAAACAACAAATGTCCATGGGTATGCTTGTCCACATGCTTATCGTGCAAGGTGTATTATGATTATGATATCCCCGTACAGGTGTATCGTTAGCGGAAATATGATTTTAATATGATTATAATAGGACTAAAATTTGCAGTGTCAAAAAGCTTATTTTTAGCAAATTTCATGTTGTATATTTGATATATTCGGTCAAGAACGCAGCAGGACAACAAACTTGACAAATCTTATAAGTATTATATTTGTGGGTTATTGTACTACGACGCACATTCTAAAAATAAATTTTTATTACATGCTTTTCGGTGGTTTATAGAAATATATCAGTGAAATAAAAAATGATAATTCACTGTTTGAAACAGTGATATATTATCAATTTTATAATTTTCACTGTTTTGAATTTAAGCGTTACGTTATTTCAGTAAAATAGCAGCGTGCAAAGTACTGGAAACCGTTCTATTATTCTTTGGTGTGTTTTCCATTTAGTTTTAGGTTAAACTGTCTTTTTTAAACTTTTTTTTGCATATACGAGGGTTGTCCATAAAGTTCGTAGAAAAGACTGTTAAATTATTATAAACAGTCATATCAATATGAAGATTGAATATTTTGCTAAAATATTTATCTGCTTCATATTTCTAAATTAAAAAAAAATAAATAAAAAAGTAATATTCGCAAAGCGCCGATCACCATGACCACATGATCAACGAATTACGGAGCACTTTGATTTCATGACAATAGCTACTCTAGTAATAAGTTACTAAAAGTTGTATTTTTAACGCAAACTCTCGTTTTAATTTTGTGACACCATGAGCTACTATTACATGAATTTAGTGAAAGTTATGACGTAATACGCAAAAAACAGCTTGTTTACGACGATTATAGGCAATGAAGATGCATACATTTTGTGTTGCAAAAATGACGTCAAATTCACGGACAGAGCTATTTTCTTCATCGCTTATATGGCACGAATTGAGATTTTAATCTTTACTTTATAAACAAAACCAACCATAAAATATAAAATGCTATTTATGTGTTTAAATGTCAAACAAGATTAAGAAGCGGCAATGACAGTATATCGTATAGGAAACGCTCCAGACGACTAAAGGTAGCATGGGCGAAATATCGCAGAATGCATTACAACAATCTGTGAAAAAGACAGACATCTCACACACAGTATGGTAACCGGTGACATTTTTGTTTTTAAATAATAATTTTAAAATATGAAATTCATAAAGTAACAGCAACATTACATGTATTAAGTATACGCCAGACATGTACCATGGCTGTTCAAATCGGAAGAAAAATCGATAGCGGGTAAACATGAAGTTAATTTGACGCCGTTGACGTTGTCAAAGTGCTCCATGATGATGTTTATATGTAATTACTGTTAAAATACAAACGTAAGTCACAGTCCAGTAATTTATGGCATGTGTTCGCTAGATATGTATATTTTTGCTGACAAAATTTGTATAACGTATGTATTGTTATACAATAACAAGAGCGATCAGTGATCACATGTGTGGCCTCATGATGGCCAATTTCATGTTGGGACAAGTTTTGTGACAGACGGACAGAGAGACGGACAGTGCACAACTAGACTTGGTACTGATAATTCCTGTAAAGTTTGGATAAAATTGCACCAGTAGTTTATGAGGAGTAGCAATGGACTTGAGCTAGAGATCAATCCTGTAAAGTTTCATTGAAATTGCATTAGTGGTATAAGAGAAGTAGTCCGGACAAATTTTAAAAATAAAAAAAAATTAAAGGGCCATAACTCTGACAAAAATCTTTGAACCAGAAAATGCTGACAATATGCACAACAAGACTTGGTACTGATCATTCCTGTAAAGTTTGGATGAAATTGCTCCAGTAGTTTATGAGGAGTAGTCCGGACAAGCTTTTGTGTATCTGGCAACACACAGAAAAAAACACCTTTTAATCAAAGGGCCATAACTCGGCCAAAAATCATTCAACCAAAAAACTCGTGCAATATGCGCAAGGACTTGAGCTACAGATCAATCCTGTAAAGTTTCATTGAAATTGCATTAGTGGTATAAGAGAAGTAGTCCGGACAAACTATAAAAATAAAAATTATTAAAGGGCCATAACTCTGACAAAAATCATTGAACCGGAAAATGCTGACAATATGCACAACTAGACTTTGTACTGATCATTCCTGTAAAGTTTGAATAAAATTGCACCAGTAGTTTATGAGGAGTAGTCCGGACAAGTTTTGTGACGGCCGGACAGACAGACAGACAGACGGACAGACAGACGGACAGACGGACGGACGACGGAGAAGTGATCCCTATATGTCGCCACTACTCCGTAGAGGCGACACAAAAATGAAGAAGTATATGAACTTTCCGGACAGCCTTCGTAATAAAAAGTGTTTTTTTTTAGATTAGTGTAACATCGAAATATATTTCATCTCGTGCACACCAAAAGTTCATATTACACTTGTGGCTGCGCCACTCTTGAAATATACCTGTTGGTACTCACTCGATGAAATATATCCCGATCGTACACTGAACTAAACACATATCCTCTATATAATTATGTATGTTATCGGGTAATATAGATAAGTGAATTATGACTTTATATAATAATTTTATAATGAAAAACATATTTATAGAAGTTATGTCATACCCTTTGCTGATGTGTTCTTATTTTAAACCAAATGCCGTAACGTACATTAGCATTACATAAGAAAATCAATAATTGCCTGTTTTTATTTTGCTTAAACTTGGTCAAAACTTATTTGGTTATTATTTCAGTTGTTTCGTTTTTTAAACGTGCATGTCGACGTGTTATTTACAAGTTGTATTGAAAAGAAAAAACGAAAATGTGTTACGATCATAAACATAAATCTAAATGTTCGGTATCAGGGACTGAGAAATATTACACTTTTTATCCCTTTTCCCTAATAAACAGATTCAAAACTAGTCTACAATTTTCACCATTAAATTTTGTTTTTATCGCTATCGAGGATCTCTTATTTATTATATGTCACAAATAAGAATGAAGTGCATATGCTTTATTTGTAATATAATATACGCCGTCTCATAAATTATGTTGATACTTGCAAAAATCATTGCATTGAGAGTAGAGTAAAGAACATTCCTAAGTCTTGAACCCTAAAGAAACAAAAACAAACTGAGTAGTATGCTTATATAATATTTATAAATATTTTCGGTGGCTTAATTGAATGCCGCCCTTTCTTGTTGATCTTGTTTAACATAATTTTGAGTTTATGACGCACCAGTAAGATCTCTAAATAACATGAATGTGATATATATTTGAATCAATATCGAAAAAATTGAATCGTTAGGTAATAAATGCTGGGATAACTCAAATTCACGTTAACTTTGCAAATGAGTTTTACGTTTATCATTAGTATTTATTTAATTTATCTTGTGGTGACATTGAACCAAAATGATACACGTTATGCTTTATAAACTCAGCTTTATCAAACATTGAATCGCCTCGTGTCAGTTCAAACATATCTGTTTTTATAGTTAGTCAAGGCTATAATTTCGAATTTGACACTAGTATTGCCCTAGTTAAACTTCAAAATAAAAAGCAATGTGTGTTATTCTTCGCTTCGTTTTTATCTATTTTAGTATATTAGGTGAAAATGATATTATTCTATATGGCAAAAAATAAAAATTAAATAAAAAAAATAAAATAAAAAAGTGTATATGCTATCAAGCTGTTATTGTGAGTACGTAAACTTTGGAGGAAAGAAGCAACACAAATATGTTAATATATCATCTGTTCAATAAAATATTTTATCTGTTCATATAAATAACAACAACCTCTACATTTTTTGGGATCCCAGCCTTGTATCGATATCATATACAATAAACACGTAACGATTAACTGCCTTCGTGTCGGTATGTAAAGTAAATTATGATTATATAGTTGGGATAATTCAAAATGGAATTTAACTTGAATTATGCTGATCATAGCCAGCTCGATTTTACGTTTTGTAGCGATACACTGATAGAATCTGATTTGGATTTTGATATTTTTGAACTATTTTTGATCTCTTTTGTTTCTTTGGGAAGAATTTTTGGGAAGATACCATTCCTTGTTATCGAAGAAGGAAAGCTAGTGTTTGGGATAATTACAAACTTATCACACACCTTCACGAAATCTTTCTATGGTAGCGGATTAAATAAAATAAATGATGAAAATAAAAAAGTACTTAATTTGCTAAAGCAAAAAAGGCGATTTATTATACTCTCATTGTCCAACGAAACGTTTCTAATAGACAACCAATACATTTTCGGAGGGTTAACTTTCCAGATACAGCAAGAAATTAAAAAGGAGAAACTTGTCAGGCGGAAACTTGATTGTGACATACTTTTAGCGTTAATCGCCGCTCGTTTCTTCAATGAAAATGGAGGAAATCAGATATCTGCTGAGTTTGAAAAAGAAAATATTGATCAGATAACTTCGGAGGATTCGAAACATTCGCTGAAATTAACGAGTAAGTTATGTTATATCATTATTGCAGATTCTAACCTATTGTACGAATATATGAGTCAATTTTTGAATCGCATAATTATTGTCTTTTGTTTATACAGCCATTTACACAATGTAATGAAAGATGCAATAAGGACCCCTGTTTACCAAGATTTTACCTCTAAATTATTTATTCAGTCTGATTTGTTTTACTATCGAGATAGAATTATGGCATCAATGTAGGAAAAATAGTACAAAAGTCTTTACGTTAAGCTGTTAAAGTAGAATTCTTGTCAACTTTTGAATGTACAAACACTATTATCAGATAGGTCAACAGTTTCATCCGTGCGTCAACGCATTCCTCACAGTACGACGCCAACTGACGTTGAACATGTTTTTCCAAATGATAAAAAGAAATACAATCAACCAGAGGTTTCAAAATATGGAGAGACCGAAAGGGAACGTGATTTGCAAGGGGAACATTTTCCAGTTCAAGCAACTGAAGCAGATATGGGACAACACTCGTTTGAGCCCTCATTATCTAGAATTGGATCAACAAGTGCCTTTAGAAGAAGTAATTTTGACAACGAAATGACAAATGTTTCTTTCGTACAGACCTCTTATAATGAAAGAAGATATCAGAACACCCGAGAACCGAAGTTTGCGGCAACATCTAAACCACCCAGATATCCAGATTACTCCGAAAAACATAAAAGAGAAGAGTCGTTTCATTCTTTGAATTGGCCAAAAGCAAACAAACCGAAACCTTTAATGCTAGTTGAATGTGGATTCTTTTACACAGGTAGTTAGTTAAAATAACGTGTAACTGATAAATTTAGAAGTAACGGCAACTATGCGATATTGTTTCTGCCTGTTTATTAACCACTGTATCTTTCCTTCATTTGAGAAAGAACTATGCTGATGAGTAGTATCTGGTATGATTAATTTACAAGACAGATATCATAAACTCCTGTTATATTTGTACATCAGAATTCAAAAGACTTATTGCGTTAGTTGACAAAAAGCTTTTTAAATCATTTAATGTGGCGGTCTACTCGTATATATCCACAAGAGAAATAAAATGCTATACGGAATTAGAATAAGTAAATGACAATGTAAAACATCGAAATTCAAATATTTTATTGAAATGATTTTATTTTTACGTTTGCATTTGTATTATGTTCTTCAAATATACAAACATTTTTGCATATATTGCACTTATTAAGTTTTTTTTCATCTCCTTAGATAAGCAAGATCTTGTAAGATGTTACCAATGTGGCATAGGCTTGAAGGACTGGGTTGAAGATGACGATGTTCTTACTGAGCATGTTAAATATTCGTCCTTATGCGACTTCTTGGTACAAACGTATGGCAAAACAAGAATTAATCAAATGAAGGTATTTCACTTGACAACATACAACCTTTAAAGTGTATAAAGCTATATCTTTAATGTGTTATGATTGCAAAAGTTTTGCTTATATTATTCTTATCAGAATAACTAGAAAATACCTAGAAAAGAAAGAAAATTACCTACCTATTTATTTACATTGAGAGAAATATGCCCCAAATAATTAATAAATCAAGTGACAATAGAAGGGGAATATTTTGTTCCAGAACATTTTATTCTAATTTACGTACAATAATCATGTGTGATAATTAACACAGTCATTCTGTATTACAACTTTTTTGAAAAATCACCGTACGGTTATTAAATTAAACGAAGTAATTTATATGTTTTTAAATAATTACAAATGTTTTCATCAGATATAGCTTTATACACTTTAAACATCCCCTGCCAGTTTTTATGTAGGCAATATAGATTTTTTGTTGCAGTTCACTTCTACCAACAATGATGAGGGCACATGAATAATTCCCATTACAGGTTAATGTAAGAAGTATTACAACTACGATTTTGCAAAATATTGAACAAACGCATCTTTAAAAGCAATATTTTTACATGATGCAATGTGGAAAACCCGACATCAAATTACCATGTATGATCATACAGTAACGGAAGTGTTTTGTTACATATGGCATTTAATCTTTATCATGAAATCACTATGCAAATACAACACTGTTTTGTCAATGCAGCTTAAAATTCTTAACATAACGGTGAATAAATTCCGATTGATTTTTTTAAGCAGGCATTAATTGATCGTATCAGATACCAATGACTCAAAGAAATACAAAGAACAATTGTTAAATCTAAAATTGAATGACTTATTAAAGTAAACAATATGTTTTATTTTCTTTCAAACCAAAACCGATAAACAGCTCATGATTGAAGCAGGTAAGACGTAATTTTCTAAATATATATCTATATCATCAATAAACATCCTGGTAAACAAAGATAAGCAGTCTGATAATATATATACACATTTAAATAGTTTATACGAAAATGTATGTAAACTACGTAAGAATAAAGTGTAAAAATAAATCTGTTCATAATACTTGAATTTGACATAAAAGTTATAAGCATGAATTCACAAGTTTAAGGAAGTAACAAAATGAATAAAAGAAAATGCATTTTTTGCAAATTAATATGGTGGCTGATTTGTGCTATTTCGTATTTTCGCGCCGGACAAAAAACCCGATAATATTACAAAGCCACCATTATTTCTTACTTTCGCTAGGCGGGTCGCAAGACGGATTCTTTTTTCTTCTTCATGTTTTCGTCTTAACCCCACTCCAACCATCCACCCCAAAGAACCAAAATAATAAATCACAAAAATTTTCGTGAAAGTACGACATGGCACAAATCAACCACCATAGGTTTATCATATCATATTTATTAAGTGAAAAAGAGAAGTATCATATTGATGTAAATGTAAAATCATGTCTCAATCATTTTTTTCTTGTATAATTTACAAATATAATATCTAAATTCTAAGTATGATAAAGTTTACAATTTCAATATCCATTTTAATCAAATTATCGCTAGACTAGATAACCAGGAAAAATCCGTGCTCTGCTGGCTTGATAATCCTAATTTATCACCGATTTATACAGTTAAATATCCTTACAATTATTTTCACAAACGATCTATCTTTGTCCAATCATTAATGATAATATTGTTATGCAAAAGCAGGTTTTGGATTTTGAATTATGATTAACAACCTGCATTGTAAAAGAATTATATTTTGAGCAGGAAGAAACAATGGAAGCACAACGAGTCAAAATATCCCTCAAGTCCCCTACACGATCAGATCACCACGCTACCAAACAATGGAAGCAAGAATCGCATCTTTTGAGAACTTTCCAAGACACATCAACATTTCGCACCATCAACTTGCTGTAGCAGGCCTTTTCTGCACTGGTATATTGAACACACTATTTCTTAAACAACGACAATGAACAATGCAATTGTAAAATAGGACCGTCGGCGGTTCTACGCAGGTACCCGCACGTGCCTGAAATAACGCACGGAGGGGCACCTATACATTGAACCAAATCAATTGTAAAATTCATTTTCTATCAATACTCATTCAGGAATTCAAAATATTCTTGACATTTTTTAATTTTTACGTGTTGTACATTACAATTGATCATGCTAGAAAATCTCATTAAGGCTTATTAAAAAGGCAAAACTGATATGCATCAACGAAGGGTGTCAGAGCAGTGTTTCTATGCCAGCATGTGATGGAAACCTGACCAAGAGTTTGTATTTTAGCTCTTGAAATAATCCAAATTTGAAACATTTTGTTATATATTTACTAAATGTTTCACACAGAAAATGGTCTGCTTGGTTTTGAGTTAATTCGTCCTGTGCTGATGAGATGTGATATCAATCTTTATGAAATAAGACACTATAGTGTTATTGTACACAGATAAATGTTTTTGTCAAATGCATAACATTCATTTTAGACGAATTAACATTTCGTTTAAAACGAAATAAAATACGCATGCCAAAAATGTTATTTATACATAATATCACTTAAAAGGGTCTATAGAATTTGACAGTTTTGAATCTGAAAATGTCTAAAGTATGTCAGTAAATGAAACGCAACTTACATTAAAAATTGGACACTTGGACAAATTGTTTATTCTTATGCATATACCTACAAGGACGAGGCGATCTATGTCGTTGTTTCACGTGTGATGGTGGGTTAAAAGATTGGAGTTCTGGTGATGATCCTATCAAAGAGCATGCGACGTACTTTCCGAAATGCTCATACATTATTAAGTTGAAAGGGGCGGCGTACGTAGAAATGCAGCAACGAAATAGACAAGGGAATGAAAATGAACAGATGGTATTTATGTATTTTGATATACATCTTTTCGTTTGTTTGCACTGAAAGTCTTTTCACTCATTACTAAGTTATAATAACATTTTATACTGATGTTTAAATCCTGTATACTAGTATATTAAATTATCTGACTGTTTGAATATTTGTCACAAATCGTTGATATAACATAATGTTATCATAATGAAGCACGTGACTCATTTAGATAACATGTTTCGACAATAATATAATAATTGTATTGTAATTTAATTTGAACAATTAATAAATTGATAAATGAGTTATTTAAGTAGATCATCTTTCATGTAATTGTAATTGACATCTGAAATGTCGCAGGTAATAGTAGATTAAACAGCAGCTAAAGATCCAGAACCAACCGTTTGAAAGGTATACTGTATAGCCAATATTAACAAACTAATATATCTGAAATGATTGAGAGCACCCTCTTGAAACATTGAAATAGTCCTTGATCAGTCTTTGGAAGCATTGGTATTGCCCTGAATATTCCCCTGAAAACATAGATATCTGCCTAGAAGCATTGACATTGTTCTGAATCTTTTCCCGGAAACATTAAATAAATGACATTGATTTTCCACTGGAAGCATTGTTATTGTCGTAGATATCTGTCGGAATCATTGGTATTGTTCCAAATCGTGTTCCGGAAGCATTGATATTTGACATATATTTTCTACTAGAATCATTATTATTTACTTTGATTGTACTCTAAAATAATTGATATTGTCCTTGATTGATAACCGAAAGTATTGCTATTTGTAATCAAATGGTCCCAAGAAGCATTGACTATGAGCTTGAAGCACCGTCGCAACATTATGCAAATGACAAGTATATATGCATTAGACCTATACATATATATGTATAAAAGAATAAATAATTTGTTTAACTTATTTAATGACATTAAAATGTACTTATGTCATGTCATGTTGTTTTTTCAATCTAGGGAGCAACCGGTGGTAGCAATAATGTAACGCAACCAACAGAAGATGTTCCAAATATTCAATCAGAGAATTTGTCAATTGTTGATACCAGTACTGAATGTAAGATCAAATATTTTTTACTTTTTTTGACCATTGATCAACCTTTTTATCCACCATATATTGCCAATTTCAAGATAATTAATCAAGAAATATTAATAGCGAATGTACATGAACCAGGTTGTGCAATGAAGCTTTCGTAATCAACACCGAATGAAGATCTGCACTGGTCGTTGCTAGAAGCGTACATGGACTAACACCGTTCTTGAACAGGCTCAATTAAAATATGCGTGCTTAATATCAGGCCGTGGTGAGCGATCGTAAAGATTTCTACACTTTCGGACTGTTTTAAAAATAGCCGAGAATGAAATGAATCAGACAAGTGACATTTTAACTAATATATAAACTTATGCATTATGACTTCAATGCGACATTTTGACATACGGTTCTTAGAACGTAGCACTTAAAATTATTGTTTACTGTCTATTTCAGACTCGAGCTTCAATGTAACTCAAGTTGTTCAGCATATGGGCTATTCCGAGATCGATGTCATTACAGCAAAAGCTGAATTAGAACGGAATGGTAAAAGAAAACCAACTGTCGAAGAGGTAGTGAATACCATATTGGATATACAAGAAAGAAATGAGAAAAAATCAGAAGCAGTTGCAACGCCAAAGGAAACAACAAAAGGTTTGTAGCAAGAGTATATTCATTTGTATAGATTATATCCAGTGTCGAGATGATTTTTGATTTTCATACACAAAAATCATGCTCACAAAAACCTTTTTTGGGTTGAGTTTTACGTCGCAACAGCACAGAAGAAGTCATACAAAATTTCAGCTTTGCTGGTAAGAGTACCCCTCCGTGCATGACCATGAGCGGAGATTATTATTTTAATGGGTCTTTTAAGTCACTAATAATTTAAATAAAACCTTTCACAAGTTTTCTTTTCTAACTAAAATACATTGAACTGCTGAGTTAATGCGACCACAGATTTACAAAATTTATGTTACTGTTCATCAGTGTATATTTTCAAATTTGAAAGGTCACTATAAAATTTAACAATGTATTACTTACTAACTTTTATCTTACATGTTATTCTCTAACTTTTATCTTACATGTTGTTTCATTTAACATGACTTTAATGTGACCATTTATAAATGTATGCTTATTATATTTTAAAATAAGTTGATACATTCAATATAATAATAAACATATTAGTATTTGGAGAATACAACTTACAGTTTAACTGATTAAATAAATGATATTTTTTATAGTTAAAAAGTTTTAATTATGCATATTTATCAACTCGGCATACACTTTACGAGCTAAACTAAAGATAAAATTACACAATTACGGTTTACTCTGAATAAAGTATATTGAATGTTTGAAAAGACAGTTAAATGCTATACGTAGATAGAATCAATATTAAATGTTACAATATATATTTTTGCATGACTTATGTAGTCTTTAAATTGATATGTTACGGCTTGTTATTGTAGTAAATATGTTTAGAATTGAATATTTAACTTAAATGTTTAAATCCTTATTTTGCCCTATATCCCTAATCTTTAATATGAAAAAGTAGGTAGATTAAGCATATTATCACACACAGAAAACATTGCACCATTATGTTTCAGATTGCACATATTAGTTATACTATATATGTATATGTATTAATCGTATCCCATGTAATTATACAAAGATTTACAAGCAATGGTGGAGGAAAACAAGAAGATGACGAGCCTGATATACTGTAAGCTGTGCGTTACTGGAGAGGCAGACATTTTGTTCCTTCCTTGCACCCATCATAGAGTGTGTCACAATTGTTCGAAGGATATCATCTTTTGCCCTGTATGCAATGAATTCATCAAGGAAAAAGTGAAGACATTCCGAGCTTAATGTTTTTTTATTCAGTTGTATATCTCGGTATAATTTTATGTCCTTTTGTGTATATATGTACATGTATCTTTATTCTTATTTGATGCCTTGTTCCCCGTTGGGTGCCTCCCCCCTTTTTTTATCGTAATACTCATAATTTGCTTAAAACTATCTTATATATGCACTTCTTTCTTATCATCAATCTTAATGATAAAGGCAATGAGATGTGAGTTAAGGTGACAACGGAGTCAATATTCACTCAAAATACCTAAAATGAGATTTTTTGCTTAGTAGATTTATCAACCTTTTATGAACTCATTCGTGATTTAATTTTGGAAGCAGTTAGTCAGAAAACGTGTTTTTAAACGTTTTAAAACGGTACCCATACCGTTTTTATCTGCTATTCGCGTAACCTGTCAATTATCGATAACGCTACGCCCCCTATTGAGGCATCAGTGAGGGAAATCAGTAGTTCCATATATCCGTGAATTACCGGTCCATAATAGTTATACATGTATACATAATACAAGTATCGTACAAATACTGTACATCGTTTATGAATATCTCGACATTTATGGTCTACCTTTTGATTTAGCCTTTAAATAAATTAAAAAAAAAAACGTCGGACAAAATGTAACATAAATAATTTAGAATAGCGGCAAATCGCACGACCATAGGGATGGTTAAATAATGTAGCTGCCTATTATATCAATAATATGTGAAATAATAATTTGTTTGTCCCGTAATCTGATAGACATAATGGACATTCAACCTCGTTTTCTAACAGTATAAAAAGAAACAGACAACATTTTTATGTAAACTCCTATAGATATGATGATGACACATTTCTTAAATATTTTATGATAATCTGCGGATGATATATTTTATGAATCGATAGAAAAATCGGACAGATATGGAAATATATTTTTTTAGTGAATGTTTCGGATATTATGTTTGCCAGTAAATCGAACACGCACAGAACTAATAAACTTGAGACAAAGTATGACATTTATTTTGTGTCCCAGAAGAAACTGAATCAAGGTCTATGCCGTGCATAGATGAATATTCATGATAATAAAATCAAGGTCAGATCATATTGATCGAGTGATACATTTTATTTCTATTAAAATATGTCAGGACAAAAATATATAATACCCCGTTCTTATTTGTACATCGTACCACAGACTTTAGCTCGTTATTTTAATTAATTAATTAATATCTAGCGGAATTTCATACGCGAATACATAGGCAGCGTGACACTGATATAATATAATAATGATGATGATATACATAATAAAACTTCAAAAGTGAAACAAATAAATTGTCCCGCTAGCTGTACGCATTTTAATGCATTTCATTTCCTCCCACCGAGTGCCTCAAATTTTACCAATAGTCATGTGACATCTGCGACAGATACCAGACGGATAGTATATCACGTTAAGATTTAAAGAAATTTCTGCTATATAATAATATTAATCAGCAGATTTTTATTTGGTCAAATGTCACTGGGTCATAAAAAGTTGTTGCATCTTGCGACCCCCTTTGGTGCGATATTTGCGTGTTATGCAATTATTTAGCGTGAAACGAAAGGGTCTGAGGGAGAGCAGCCGATTTATGACACTTCGTTTGATGCGGGTCGAACTAACTTTGAATCGGCATAACTTTTGTAATAATCAAGCAATTTACATGCGGTTTAAAGCACATGAAAGGAAATTCATTTACGGAGGGAAGTGTGTCAGGGATTTTTGATAGCTCAATCAGTGACTTAATGAGGGACAATAATGGATTATCTTCCCTTGATAAAAACCGAGGTTAACCAAAATGTAAGTAGGTCCAAATATTTGGAATCCTTTGCTTTTGTCGTTGATTTTTATGTAAGACAGGTTGATATGTTTTAATAAATTATTTCCACATGCATCAACAAATATGTAAACAATAAGAAAAAAAATGTTTCATTTATGTGAACAGATTCTACAGCTTATCGCAATATTTAATCTGAATATTACAAATGATAATAATTAGCCCTAATTAATTCAGTTTGCTACAAAGAAATAGGCGATAAAGTCAGAGTAATCCAATTGCTTAGGACCTATCTATTTATAGGGTGTACTCAGGGGAGGTTATTCACTAATGTCCCCCATTATCTTTAATTGCGTAATATGAATGGTGAAAAAAGTCGCATAAAAAGTTTGATTTTACGTACTATTGTTTTGAGAAAAGATAGAAATAATCTGAGACACGGTTCCCTACATATTATAATTATGCTTATATTCCAAAAGTTTGACGACAAAAAAAAATTTGAATGACTTTGATAGGACGATTTTAAACAACAGGATTTTTGTTCAAAATTTATTATTTATAAAGACATTTTTTTTTAAATATGTTATTTTTTATGAAGATCAAAGACATTTAATGCACAATATTTAAATAAATAACAATTATTACTAAAATAAGTTGGTTTAAATGACATTCACGGTAGTACCACGGAAAGTGTCTGTTGTCCCCTTGAGCACACTGTATCAGATTGTTTGGCAAAGTTCTTTATCATATTTAAACATGTCACACAAAAAGTAACACGGGCCACTTATTACGTATTAACATGCGACAAAGCAGTTTGATTTGAAGATAAACAAAATATCTTTACAAAACATACATTCAAGATGAAATATTACAATATATATTTTGAATGACTTATGCACTTTAAATTAATATGACGAGGCACGTAATTGTAGTAAATATGTTTGAATGCCAAATAGTTGAACAATCGTTTTGCCCTTTATGCATGATCATTATTAAAAAAACTGTTTTTTGATTATCATAATGGTCTTAAATAAACATAGTATGTAAACATTTAAAAGAATTTTAAAGGACTCGGTACATTTACTTAACACAAAAGCATAAATAACGCTCATACGCTCACTTGAATTAATATATAGCACTGATCATATATTTATATTATGAACAAACAATAACAAAACTATAACACGACTATAACAAGGCTAAAACAAGACAAGAAGAACTTTCTGATCACGACGCAAACGAGTTATTAAGATGCGTTAATTTTAATTGAAACTAAATAATATCAAATCTATTCGGCCAACATAGGAATGGATTGTGATCATACGAATAATTCTTAAAACATGATAATTTCTGAGCGAACCAACCCGGGAGTTAAGCCATTGAAATGAATAGAAAATCATGAAAAAGGGCAGGAGGGTTGAGTAAAACTAGAATCATTTACGACCGCCTACACAGAAGCAAAAATGAAAAAATGTTGAAGGTTATGTTGGATGAACGTGTTTATTAACGTCCCTAGCTATTGTAAGACAGTATTTATTTCGTTCATTAACATCACTGGCTATTGAAAAATAATATTAGTTCGTTCCTTAACATCACTAGCTATTGTAAAATTAATTGTATTTAGTTCGTTCCTTAAAAATCACTAGCTATTGTAAGATAAAATTTATTTCGTTCCTTCACATCACTAGCTATTGTAAGATAAAATTTAATTCGTTCATTAACATCACTAGCTATTGTAAAATAGTATTTATTTTGTTCATTAACACCACTAGCAATTGTAAGATAGTATTTATTTCGTTAATTAACATCACTAGCTATTGTAAGATGGTATTTATTTAGTTCTTTAACATCACTGGATATTGAAAGTATTTATTTCTCCTACGCTAGTAACATCTTGAGAGAACGAAAATAACCTTGCAATAGCTCACGGCCTTAATGACGACAATAATCGGCAATAAGGTTACTGTACATTTCAATTACGGAACATAACTACGTGTTCTCATAGCTGATACCTTCTTTAGGAACAACAAGTTGCTCCGCAAGTTAACAATTATTTCATGCTCACTGTTGAAATGTTATATACCTTATATAGAAGTGAGAAAATATTTAGTTACGTCGGCGCTCGTGAATATATTGTAATATATTACTTCATAATTTCAAAACAAAACCAAAAAGCTCGACTTATTAAAAAAATACATGTTTTGTATGTGTATGTATTTTATGTATTTGTATGTATTTTATGGAAAAGTATTGGTTTTATCTGCAAAGTATATTACTCACAATAATTAGACATAAATATTGGGTTTAATTCCTGACAATGGCGTACTTCTTGATTCAAATATTATTGCTCTTTAAAGTAGTTAAAGTTACACTCAATGACATTACTTAAATTTGTTGCGTAACAGTTGAACGACTGACGCCATCACTTTTTCTTTGTCGTCTTTTTCCTCTTAAACAAGTGAGAATTTGCTGATTTAATGATTTCTTTCGTATATTTTTAGTTAGATATAAAATATAATGATTTTTTTTGTTGTTTTTTTCGCGAATATGCTAAACATATCTCAGCATATTGACAGAAACAATCAAATGTCCTCTATTTTTGGTCGATGTTATGGCACATAAAACATCACCTTGGCATACCGATAGGCCTACATGTAATATTGATATTTATTTTGTCGAATGAATGTACTGCGTGTTGATTGTCATTTATCAAACTCATTTTTTCCAATGCTAATCTTCCCCCATCCGCATCATTATTATACAAATAAATGAAATAAACTCTTAAGTGTGTCATTTTTTGCATATTGAAAAAGTAAATTTTGTAAGAAAAGCTTTTTATTCTAATTTGTTAATTCTTTATTGAGTTTAACTATAACGTTTTGTTATTTTAATTTGGACCACCCCCCCCCCCCCCCAAAAAAAAAAACAAAAAAAAAAAAAAAACAAAAAAAAAACAAAACACTTGCCTTTATTATCTTTAGTTAGAATTAATAGATGATATGTGATATTATACGTTTGTACTCAAACATTTTTATTTTTTTTTTGCTTGTTGATGCTTTATATATTTTAACCAATATTTATTGTGTTATTTATAATTATAAGAGGGTTTTCTAATCTAAATTTTACATTTTTATTTTAAAATTGAATATTTGAAGTTCGAAACTTTATACAAAAAGGAAGGTAACATTAAACATTTTAACAAAAATAAGTCTTTTTCGTGAAACTTTATACATTTTCATGTTGTTATTTTTATTTTTGGTAGATGTATTGCACATAAAACATCACCTTGTTATACCGAGAGGCTTACATGTAATATTTATATAATTATTTTTAAGCCGATTTAATGTACTATGTGTTGATTGATTGTCAAAAAACAAACAGATTTTTTTCCAATGCCAATCTTGTCCCCCGCTTTCGTTATTGTAATAAGCTATATGTGTGTCATTTGTTGGATATTGAAAATGTAAATTTTTGTAAGAAAAGAGAAAATGAAACAGTTTTATTTTGTTTTGTTTATGCTTAATATACTTAAACTATATCATTTTGTTACTTTAATTTGACCCCCCCCCCCAAAAAAAGACCAAAAACAACAACAAACAAACAAATAAAAAACACAATAAAAATACAAAAACAACACTAAAAACAAAATCAAAGAAAGAAAGAAAGAAAGAAAAAAAGAAAAAAAGAAAGAAAGAAAGAAAGAAAGAAAAAAAGAAAGAAGAAAACAAACACAAAAAAGAAACAATAAAAAAGACAAAAAGACAATTGGTCTATCTTTATTATCTATAGTTAGAATTAAAAGGTGATATGTGATATTATACGTTATAAACATTTTATCTTTTTTGCTTGTTAATGCTTTATACATTTTAACCAATATTTATTGTGTTATTTATAATTATTAGAGAGTTTTCTAATTTATATTTTACATTTTTATTTTAAAATCAAATATTTGAAGTTCTAAACTTTATACAAAAAGGAAGGTAACATTGACATTTTAACAAATATAATTCTTTTTCTTGAAATTTTATACATGCTATTTTTATTAGAATAATTTCCTCATTTATTAATTTACAATTATCGTTTTATTTTAAACGGATTTATTTGGAAATCCAATATTTGAAATAGAAAGTTTTGTACGACAAGAAAGATGCTCAAAATCTTTTGTTGTAGATGTTTTATACATTTTGCCATATGAAGTTTGTTGTTTATATTGCAAACGTTTCTATATATTTTTTATGCCCCCGCCATGTAATGACCGGGGCATATAGTGTTACCCTGTTCCGTCATTCCGTCCTTCCGTCCTTCCGTCCGTCCGTCATTCTGTCATTCCGTCATCATCAGTTTCCGTTCATTATCTTAAGAACGGTTGCACACATTCAACTCAAATTTGATATATGGATATGTCATGAGAAAATACAGGTCAAGTTCGAATTTGGTCATGGTTCGATGATTTTTGGCAGAGTTATGCCCCTTTTACTTTGAAAATAATATGAAATTCAGTTTCCGTTCATTATCTCCCCAACGGTACAACACATTTAACTCAAACTTGACATATGGATATGTCATGAGAAAATACAGGTCAAGTTCGAATTTGGTCATGGTTCGATGATTTTTGGCAGTGTTATGCCCCTTTTACTTTGAAAATAATATGAATTTTTTAGTTTCCGTTCATTATCTCCCCAAAGGTACAACACATTCAACTCAAACTAGACATATGGATGCGTCAAAGGAATGTGCAGGTCAAGTTCAAATTTGGTCATGGTTCAATGATTATTGTCAGAGTTATGCCCCTTTCACTTTGAAAGTAATATGAAATTTTCATTTTCCGTTTATTATCTCCCCAATGGTGCAACACATTCAACTCAAACTTGACATATGGATATGTTTTTGGAATGCCCAGGCCAAGTTTGAGTTTGGTCATGGTTCAATGATTTTTGGCAAAGTAATGCCCCTTTCAGTTTGAAAATAATATGAAATTTACAGTTTCTGTTCATTATCTACCCAACAGTGTTACATCTTCAACTTAAATTTGACATATGGATATGTCAAACGAATGGGCAGGTCAAGTTGGAATTTGGTCATGGTTTGATGATTTTTTGGCAGAGTTATGTCCCTTTCACTTTGAAAATAATATAGATACATCTTAGGAATAAGCAGTTTTAGTTTGAATTTGGTCGAGGTTCAATGATTTTAGACAAACTTATCTTTCCTGAATGTTTGAAAAATTTTGAACTTTCAGTTTCAGCTCTCATACTTTTAGCCATTATTTTGGCTACAAATATGCAATATGCTATTTTTAAAAGGTTTAGACTGAATAATTTCAGTGCCTTGAACATTGTATGAAAATGGTTGTGTTAACATTGAAAAGTTTTAAGGGCTTTGAACTTAAAATGAAAAAAATAATTAATGCACCATCTGAAATTTTGGCTGCATGCGGGGGATCCGTGGCATGATGACACATTTCTAGTTTTATATATATTTTACAAATATCGATTTTATCTTGAAATTGGTTAATATTATTTGAAATTTTAAGCTTTGGCTACTCATTGACAAGTATGTTTTGTTAATGCTTTATACATTTTTCACATATTATGTTTTGCTATTTTTGATGACAACTTTCATTATTATTTATATAGAGTGTACGTAACATACGCTACATTTTCTGGAGCTAAAACTTAAACCTTGTTTTGATTTTGTTTGTTTGTATAATTGGAGATTTTTTTTGTAATATTATCACGTTCAACCGTGCCATCAGAAAATGTCTAGAAAATGAAAATGAATAGATTCAAGGTCGATATAATGTGGGAGGTTCTAAAATGGCAATGTAAGAAATTATTCCATTAATCATTAATTCTGTCCTATATTTAGACTTTTATTGGCTGTAAAAACAAGCTCAAACATACTTGAGTACTGAAAAAAGCAAATACTTACAGCAAATTATTCATTCCATCATTAATTATTCATAATAGTGTAGGGAAGCTTTGTTTTCCAAAAGGGCAATAGTTGACTTAACATTATCCGTAAAGGGAGACAGTTTTCTTTACTCGATGATAAGAAAGTCATATTTAAAATTTCTGCGGAGTCATGAAAAACGCAAAAATGCCGTCCTTATGTTAAAATAACATGCCTTTAACGTATTGGCAGTTCAAAATATTGAACTTATCTATCTGGCCATAAAATATTTTCATATGTAAATGTTGAGTTGAGCTCATGTCGGTGATGGGGTGTGTGAACGGGAACATGCAATTCATATTCAGTGCCAATCAGACCACGCTTTAACTTCTTTAATTATGCCATGTCTAGCATGTTGCACACCCATCGTATAATACAAATACAAAAGATATAGCAAAGCGTCTAATTTATGTCGAAGTTAACATTTTCTTTAGTCTTTTCCTGTATTGTTGTGATATAACTGTATGAATTTTTCCATATTCAATACAAGCATCACATTCAAAAATACGACACGACTGATACAAGCTGTATTCCGCTCGAGTGTGATCTGGAATGTCATTGCCGGGTGTAATGTAGATTATCTCGTGGCTGTATATATAGTTTACAGTAACTGTTGATATAATATTATGTTGATATAGCTTGATATGAGTATCTTGGCCTATAACTCATGGATTGTACTAGAACGATTCACACTCCTGCTTAAAGTCCTACCAAGAAAGTAAAGGCAATATTGAATACAGGTGAAAATATTTTATCAGCCATTAATCAATTTTGAATATTTCTTGTTTCAATTGAAACTCAAAAATTCATAAGCATACCCTCATTGCATGTATAGCATTTTGTGTATACTAAGAAGTTAAATAATTATATTTATTTTCTCCCACTGCTATTGATTCATTCAACCTTGCACCTTAGTTGAAAACAAAAATATATAAAAAAATGTTCTCAAATGGTTTTGTGTGTACTACATTCAAAAGGTTGAAAAAAGAAAAGATGAAAAAAATAAAAAGAGTCATTGTACAAACTAAAATAATACACACCACTATATGTCAATATCGATCAAAACAAAAGATTTTGAGTATATGGATTATTTTGAAACAAAAAAAGAAAGATTTCAAGTAAAGTGTTTTAAACAAATCGAAATAGCCTATAAGAATTAAACAATAGGATTATACAAACTTTAAAAGATGCTAGATGCTTAGTTTACAACTTAGAGGCCAACTTAATGACAGAAATGTGAGACTTTCGTCAAATGATACCTCTCTATTCTGAACCATCTCTGATACAAGAAACTGCAATGTCATTTATTACTTTAATATTCGTTCGTTCGTTCTTTCGTTCTTTTCTTTCTTTCTTTCTTTCTTTCTTTCATTCATTCATTCATTCATTCATTCATTCATCAATGTTTAATATTATCTTGTAGACAAGTTACTTGTTAAAAGAACAGTTACTCATTAAAATTCTCTAAAGACTACATTGTTATATTCTATTAATAATCGACGCTTAACGTACTACAAAGAAAAGGGAAACAAAAAACCGAAGCACCCGAAATGTGTACGTTTATAAGGCTTAACACACTTTGATACCATATAAAGGTTACGACAAGAACCTTGAATAATCAATTTGCTTATTCAAAATTGGAATTTTTCGTAGGCGCATTAGAATCGCCTTTAAGCTTGTACGATATATCTGTGAAGATTGATTAGTCTAAAATTCCAAGCTTGTTAGGCGTTTTATAATAAACTAATGTTTTTGTAAACTATGTTCTATTACTAAAATTGCATTATTCTACTTTGCACAGAAATGTCTCGTGTTCTAGCCTTTACAATGTTATGCCTTTGTAAACGAATAACATAATAAATATGATTTTTAAAGTGTAATATTCAACTCGAACGGTTATATTTCTATTTAAGTGCAGAATTGCATAAAAGAGTGGAACATATGTGCAACCACACCGCCAATATAATGATAAATGCACATTAATCATTGTATATTTTTACAGCAAAAGATGCTTTAGCAAAATTTCTCCCTTTCTCCATTATTGTATGTTACCAATTTACACAGCCTGCATGCATTTATTTGTTTACATTCCCGATAAGTTGACTTCTTATGGAACGGATCGTTTAATGATGTTGTTATAGTTCATGACCCAGTTTGTATAAAGTTTCTCTTCCTTTTTGTTTATGTATTGTTAATGACATACAATGAAATATTATTAGACTTAAACATCCTGCAACACAATGTTTTTATGGTTTGAAATCATAAATATGATGAGCAAATTCAGATTTATCAATATTCTAGGTTCCAAAAGCATTATTTATATAGATATTACCGAATTTAACATTTCATGTAAATAAAAGGAGGTAATAAAATTTTTATTTTCTATAAAGCTAAGTCAAATTTTTCAATAAGAAATGAATGCATAAATTTTAATGATTACATATAATATGCACACATATTTGCAGTACATAATTTAAATATTCTCCGATGTTTGAACATTTTTTTATTTGCATTATTATGTACATACGATATAATTTCACTTAGTGTGGTTTACCACTTTGATCACAACATACAGGACCTTTAAGGAACATTGGAGAAATTGACTTGAATCTTTGGTATCTGTTGGCGTCGGTTAACCGCGAATAAATTTTCATCATAAAAATTAAAATGCATTTATGAAGCGCAGATAAACTTGGGTATTTTTTGCACATTTTTACCTTTTTATTCAGATATTTTATTCATAATCCACAAAATGTTTTCCCTTTCCATATGGAATACTTTTTTTAAATTTGGTCAAGTAATGAAAAACAAAATTGCTAGGCAAATTCCCAACACGACGAAATTGATACATTTGTAATAAAATCTTGCTTTATAAACAGGATATAAGCAATAATTTGGAAGATAATTTTGCCTTATCATTCCTCTTTTTTAGACTTGGAGTATTTTTCTTTTATATTTATATTACTATATATAAATTGTTTTTTCTTTTATATTTCAATTATATTTATATTCATATATTTTTTTACCCCCACCCCCTCAAAACTTGCAAAAAATCCTATTAAAATACTGATAATTTTGTAAATTACTTTGGTAGAATCAACAAAATAGAGCCTAGCCAGCCTCTTTGAAAGTGCAGGACGACCTGGCTGAATCTAGTGGAAGTGAAGGCAACAAATTCTGTAAACTGCTTGACACACTGCCCGATTCGGTGGCTGTGCTCTTGTAAATTCAATGTGGTTTACTTACGGTCGTGGTCCGGAGTGAAAATACCACCACCACCACCACCACCACCACCACCACAAAGACTGTATTCATGCAGATAACATTTCCCTGATTACATTGAAATTTTTATCATGTCTAAAGTAGACAAGATAAATTTTATTTATTTTTGTGTGCGCACTGTACTGGATTGCTTGATTAAAAATAATGATATTGATTATTATGAAAATGATAAATGTGCAAATATCCTGTTATCCCCCGCTAATGTAATTGAAAGAGGATATTGAAATGGCGTTGTCCGTCAGTCCTTTTGTCTTGATCCATATCTTAGAAACAGTTTGCAGCACAGTTAATGTGATGAGGGAAAGTCTCACATGTCATTAATATCTATTTGGTGAGTGGTTATTGCCCTTTGTTAGAAAGTGCTTTATTGCCGGAATTCAATATCTAAAGCTGTATAATTACGGAGAATTGGTTAGATTGTAAGAAACTTTGTAAGAAAGTAATATATGGAAAGGTGCTGATCGAATAATAGAAATCTGAGGTATGGTCCTTTTTCAATTCAATAAAGACCTTTTTGTTAAGGAAATTAATGTTAGTCAATACTGATAAGTGATATTTTGATATGTGTTGGTACCAATCCCATTTTCTAGCAAAACAACAAACCACCACAAAGCAACGACCAAAGAAAAAATATGTAAAAACTGGCACGTTAAACATAAAACAGGTTAAATATCAAATTTTGCCATCCATATAACGATATTGAATTATTTATAGAGATTGGAATTTTGACATCTGGCTACTGATAAAATGAAATTACTGTTAATTGTTTGGAAATGCCAAACCCGGAATAATTGCTATGACATTTACGGATTATGCAAGAACAAAGAGTCATGATCATCTTTCATGTTCGTTTTAGCAGCGCAACAAATTGCACCGCCGTTTATTTCGGCTTCTTGTTTATTAAGTGTTGTTGAATTTAATATTAATTTTACAGCAAGAAAGCGTTTTCGAAAATTTTGGTTACATTATGATAAGGAAGTAAGTAATTTTATTTTATTTTATTTATTTATTTTTAAGTATTCGTTAAACATGTTTCAAATCTTATTTTGGATGGTTTGAAGATCTTGCGTATATCATAATTGTATGTAAATGCTATTTTTTGGCAGATGAACAGTTCTGGCGGGAAAACTATATTTTACGTCTGTTGTTTTTTTGCTTTTTTTGTCTAACCGTAACAACATTTGGGTAAAATAAAGTTTTAACCTTTTCTGACCATAACGGTCCATCTACCAACCAAATATTAATCTACACTTATGATAATATACATTTTTTCCGTTAGCCTCCGCTATATATAGGAACTTTCTAGAGTTCAAAGATTTGAATCGAAAGGTTTATCTATAATTTCTACTTTGGTATTATCAACAAAAATAGCGTCAGAGTCACATGGTATAAGCACACTGATAACTGTATATCTATGATGTGTACTGATGAGAATGAAGTAGTGAGAACAACAAACCATCTTTTATACCAAAGCTTACGTTATCGTTTTAGTATGGATTGATATAAAAACAAATCTTAAACTTGCCTGCTAGATTTAAATATCAGGAAATTTATATTTGAAAATCCAGTTAAAAACTTATATGCGCAGTCAACACTGCTGTCCCGTAAATACATTTTCGAGATTAATGTTTCATTAGATGTTGGTCTAGACAAATAACTTGTTTGCAAAATTTTAGATCATTCGCTCACATCTTTTCATGCATGGAATTTAAATATGAAGACAATAATCATGTTTCAACAAAATGTTAAGATATCAAATTCATTTGTATAAAAAATGTAGTGCTTATAATCTAAATTAAGCAATATTTATGAATAGAATACTTAAAATGCAGAATGGAATTATTGTAAATTTTTTAGTAAAGAAATATTAATTTTTAAGTATATTTATAACTCAAATAGGTCTGATGTAAAGTGCAATTTTACTATACAATCACTCAAATTCGATGAATAGAATGATAATAATAATAATAATAATAATAATAATAATAAAATCACACATGATTAGTTTAGCTTCCTATTGAATTGCGCATATTTTTATTTTAATGGAGAATTTTTAGTTAAATTTTAAATAAATGTTTCATCTCTTAAAACATTTCATGCAAATGTTGAACAGACACATATCTTATAATAAGGACATACATGTAATCAATGATTTTATTAGCTTTCACGATAATTCATCTTTTTGCATTTAGTTACGAGTATATACTTACCTTGTATTTGCAGAAAAGAACACTTATAAACGAAGAACGTCGGTGCCAGCTTATGTGTCCGTTTATTTCATAAACTGGAAATGAATTCGTCCGAAGATACAACAAAGGATTGGTACGAAGACTACTCTGAAGAGGACAGTAGGAATACCACACGTCCAATTGATGTTATTTCAATTGTTATTTGTATTTTAGGCATACTTGCAAACATTCTGTCTTTATATGTTGTTAAACGAATATTTAAAAAGTTGTCAACACACTTAAAACTGATAATTAGTCTCTATTGTTCAGACTGTTTAATTCTGATTATGACTCTTCTTAGTAAAATATTAACCATGACGCAGCGATCAATATTTTGCCTAAATGCTGCTGTAAGACTGGTGACTGACCTGGCACTACTTGCAACATTGTTGAATCTTCTTGCCATAGCAGTGGATCATTATTTGTCCATACTTAAACCATTGATGTGCAAGATGGCATTAACGAAGATCTGGGATATGTGTGCAGTGTTTGTTATTTGGTTCGCGAGTCTTCTAGCAATTGCGGTTGAAATAATTATGGGCATAGTTCACCAACGAGAAAAGGAATCACTGTGTGTGGTAATTGCATATGATACCACTAATGCCGAGTATGGAATTGTGACTTCAATTTTTGTCGTCTTATTGGTGATTTTTCTGATTTACGGTAGGATCTACATTTGGATCGTCAGGAACAGGTCTATATACAGCAAGACGAGTCATTGGCAGAAAGACACAAGTAACAATAAGGCCTTAGTATCTACATCACTCTTCGTTTTGACATTCGCACTCTTCTGGATGCCGATTGGAATATTCAATCTTTACATACACAATAAAGATGTCATGTACATCTCGAACAATCTAGAAAAGCTTGAGCAGACTGGGGATATATTGTATGTTATAATGTTGCTAAATGCAATCGCAGATCCGATCATTTATACGAGGTTCTGTCTGCCACAGCTATACAGAAAATCCTTTATATTTCGTACCAGAATGAGGCGCGAGCCCACTAAAAAACTCGTATTAACATCTGAAGAATAAGAGGTTTACCTAAGTTCAGAGAGTCAGTATGATGAAAGGTTTTCCCTATCGTATCGGCATAACGTACATTTATGGATAAAGCAGCTAGGAGATGAATAGACTCCAGTAATTCAAAACCATTTAGTTTACGATCACGCAGGGATAAACAGTTGCTACAAATCTGATGTCACAACCCTAAAAGCAACAACGGAATTTTTCGATCTTTTTAATGTAATTGTCAGTCCCAGAGAATATATGGACAACTGTTGTATCTGTGATATGGAAATATTATCCCCGCTTTATATGTCAATTCTAATATGGAAATATCCAGTATTCCAGTATCCCCGCTTTATTTGTAAATTCTAATATAGAAATATCCATTATTCCTGTTTTATTTATAAATTCTACTTTGACAATATCCTATATTCCCGCTTTATTTGTAAATTCTAATATGGCAATATCCATTATCCCGCTTAATTTGTAAATGGTTATATGGAATAATCCGTTATTTACGCTTAATTTGTAATTGCAGTGAAGAAATATCTAGTATCCCACTTTTATTTCTGGTATAAATATATCCATTATTCCTGCTTAATTTTTAAGTTCTAATTTGGTATAATATCCAATATTCCTGTTTAATTTGTAAAATTCGAATAATTTATAAACGCATTATTTGAAAATGTTAATATGGAAATATACCCACTTAAATTTTTGATATTATATGGCAATATCCATTATCCCAGTTTAACATTTTAATATTGATATGGCAATATCCATTATTCCAGCTTAATTTGTGAATTCTGATACAGAATTATATAATGTGAAGCGAGGGATGGTGATAGATCTAATTATATTTACTTATTGTTGTTACATTGCCTTAAGGCCCTAGAGTATAGATATATAACAAAGATTATTTTGAATAGACTTTGCTACAAGAGTAAAGGGATCATGGTAGACAATACAAGGAAAATATAAAAAAAGTCAAGTCATATTCCAATGCAGATTACTGGAATAAAATGAAAAGAATATCTAGAAAAGATAAATTTAATATTAAGATACACATTCAAGTATGTGTCGAACTGATTTAATTTCAAATGAGGGTATTATTAAGACAGATTGTTTTAATTTAAAGACTGCTTGTGTTGAACCTATGTTCATAATTCAGGTAACTTCATAAATACAGCAGGTACCTTAATCTGACGAGTAGTATTGTAGAAGTACATGATAAATCAAGGATAAAAAGATAAGATATTTTAGTTTCAATATTTAAAAAAGTAAATGCTAAATTAATGAACAATCTATGTTCCACACAAACGGAGAGTGGAAATGCTTGTCAAGAATCATCGAGGCTTTATAAATTATCGTACTTTACTGTTATTTTTGTAAATAATCATAAGAGCGTTCCTTTTTTATCTGATTATCTTTTGAACATATTTGTTAGATGCTGCAGTTGTTATATACCTTTTTGTTTCAATAAATAAAACTGTGTTATTATTGTCTTGTTTTCATTCATTTAGTAATAAAATATGAAAGTAAAAATTTTAGCTTTGCTTTCAACTTACGACGTTTTACGTAAAACGAGGGTTGTTCAAAAAGTAATAGGACTGCAGCTCTACTGTTCACATTTTATAATTTACGTACATAATTTAACAAGAAATAAATATCGGAACTGTTCTCTATATACAGTGAAAAATCTATACAAAGTGTTTACAAATAACAATTCTGTAAACTTTTCAAATGACAATGGGTACGAAACCCGGCGCACGACGACAATACAATAAATGACGTTCATGACGTCGTTAACTAAATACAAAATATAACCAAGTGTCATCTAGCCTGAAATTATTCTTCCTTGTGCTCTGGGTGTCTGAATCATGTGACCATGATCAGGTCTCATATGTGGAGATTAAGCAGAAAGAAAGCGATCACAATTTCGTTCAACCCTCCAAGAACAATGTCCGATAGGCGGCCATTCTCCACTTTTCCTCTAGCTCTACAAGTAATTAGATAGGTTGTCAAACAAGAAATAAATCTTAACCTAAAATCGTTGTCATTATTGGAAAATATTTAAAACAACGACATTAATAATTGGGTAGCTTGAGCATGATGGGGCATGCATGTAAAAGATAAGGGTTTAGATAGATCGATAGATGAATGAATTAATGAATGAATTGACACTACTGTTGTGTCACATTGAAGATTCCATGATAAGCGCAGCGGATGTTTCTAAATTCAAAATTTTACCATTTTTTGTGTTGAAATGTTGAATTCTGCTTAAGCCGGTGCTTGGGGCGTGGACGGTACTCTCACTTTCAAGTACCGTCCATGAACAGACTCAATCAAACCGAGCCTGCATGAAAAAAAAAAACTTCGCTGCGCGCCCCCGCTAATAAGCGTGTTTTCGTCTTGCGACCCCGCCAAGCGAAAAGTCGAGAATTAACAAATTTAAATGGCGGGGCGCGGAGCGAAACACGCTAATTAGCGAGGGCGCGGGGCGAAGTTTTATTTATTAAACTTCGCCCCGCCGGACGCGGAGCGAGATTTAAGAAATAAAAAGGTAGGGTCACGGGACGAAAACACGCTAATTTGTGGGGGGGGGGGGGCGCAACGAAGTTTTATATATAATCAGAATCATATATCTAGAATGTCAGATGAGTTTTATTTCCTAAAAGGAAGAAAACGTCCTTACAGGATATGTGTGATTGATATTTTTTTGCAATTCAGGTTATTTAAATTGATCCTGTTATACAGAACACGTAATTTATCATATTTTCTGACGTTTTTATACTTTTCAATATATCAAAATACCATGCTTGTCTTTCACACAGACTATTTGAATGGTTTATGTCGTTTGTTACGTGATCAACAACCGCCTTTTTATATAAGGATTGTCATTTCTTTCTCAATTCAGATGTTTTCAAATATTAAATCGTATTTGCAAATTAAACCCTATTTTATCAGCCCCCATCTGCATTAACTGTGTTGTCAAGACTGATCCTCTCTGATAGACAAAAACTATTTACAAACAAAGTTTGAAATTGTCTGGAACTAAATGAATAAGAAATCTATAGCTTGCGGCTTCTTTTTCTTTCAATACCGCTACTTTATTGGTTTTACTTTAGAAATGTGACATAATTGCAGCCATATTTGTTAATAAGTTCACAATTTGAGTTCTGGATATAGTATTCTGTTAAGAACCTTCTCCGGAAACAGTTATAAATAATTATCTATTGCACAAAATTTATAAGTGGGGTTTAATTATTTAATATATTTCTGTAATGTATAACGCTGTGTTAAAAAGACGATTTGCGAAAAGGATATTTAGTACAAAAGAGTGCTTCTTGTTTTTTGTCTCGTATTTTGGTTTTGGCGATGTTTGAGGCTAATGTCCTCTTGTTCATGTTATTCGTTTTTTATCTGAATAATGACTGTCAAATTGGTTTCGATATGTAATTGAGAGCACTAGTTAATGTTATTGAACATTACGATAGTGAAGACGAATTCAATAAATATTCAACAAGCGATTGTTTTAACCCAAGACCGATTTATCAATCCGTAAATTTTTTATTTTGTTTGCAGACGCAAGTGTGTTACATAAAAGTCTTAAACTTAAGTCATTCGTTACTGAAATATATAAACACTCTTTGGAACATTTCCAGGATTGTACTTAAATTTGTCAAAATGTAAGTGCCTAGTTTTCAATATAATTATGATAGCAAGAAATGAGATTTAGCAATAACTATAACAGTCATGTTTATTGAAAGCGCTTATATAATATACCATTGTGTACATGGAAGTAAACACAATTGTAATATCACGGGATCATGATCAAATAAAACATTCATTATTATAAATCGGGTGAAGAAAAAATGATGAGTTTAATTACTTTTTTAAATCTACAATAAACACATGAAAATACAACATACGATATACAAATGCATAACCTGAAACGTACTGCATGTATTTTGAAACAATGACGTATAGTTTAAAGACACAAGTTTTACACGCGACTAAATGTTGTGTTGAATTCGAAGACGTTAAACATTGCAATGTCAATTTAAACAAAATGTTATATTTTCTATCCTTTGAGATCATTTAACATAACGTAAATGTCGTATTAGTATTGTCCGTAGTTCCTTGTGGTCTTATCTATTAGGTTATTTCCAGTATTTCTAGGTTCCGCCTATTGTTTCCTCGCTGAAGGCAAATACAGTCGTCCACGTGAAGAATATAAACCGCTTGAATCATTAGATAAATTCTGCTATGTGCATGTATTAGCATTTTCCAGATTTATAGACCAAGGACAATTCTATTTTAAGCGTTAAACATAAATTGTGATATATTTATGTATAACATAAACTTTTCTCGTCTCATGTCATAGGTCATTTTCAATGGTCTCGTGTCATAGGCTAATAATGCCATGATATTGTATATTAAATAAATCTGACTGCGTTATCAAATTAGGCTGATGATCAATTAAATGCCGTCTAGCATGAACAATTCTGATAACTTACTATCAGATTTAATTATTAAAATTGTCTAATGGTTTTAGAAATCATTATAGTCAATTATGTATCAATTTATGCTGATATACTGTGGTTATAAGTGATCTTGATGTCATGCATTTGACCGAAATTGCACTGTTGGGGGAATATCTTTTTAAATAGTAGAACATGAAGTACAAAAGTACAAACATTTACAGGGTGTACGCTTGCTATCTAACGGCAGATTCCATAACATTTAATTTTAAAATTAGTGTGATTAAATTACTGAAACGGAGATTATATTAAAATTCATAAAGTAAGCAATAAATGGACACTCGTTTGACAGAATTTCGATAAAACTACATTTGGTTTAAAACTGTCTATTTTCTTTCTTTCATTTCTTTGCTCTTTTTGTTTTATATTTTGTTCATTTTCTGTCGCAGTATGTATAGTATATTCACAATTTATATTATTTTCTGCAAACGTATCCCAAGTATCTTGTGTTGGAACTGTTAGTTAAGGGGAATCAAGATGAAAGTTTAGGTTGATGGTAGAGTCTAGTAAAAAACATGTTCATATTTCATTTAGAAAAAACAAATCACAATTATCAGTATGTTTTAGTTACTTTAATCTTAATTCATCAATACTAGCAATACTTTGTAAAAACCAGGGAAATCACAATCACGTCAATAGTTTTTTTTATATAAAATGCGATTCACAGGAGACCATGTCTGTTGCACGCATTTAATTTTCTTCGGATAACTTTGAATCACTTTTGAAGAAATTGATGAAAAAAATCTTTTTGAGTACATTTTTAATTAAGTCAAGATGTACAAAATCCACATATTTCAAACAACATATGTGTAGGCTTCTGTCTCAGTACTGAAAAATATAGAACACATACAGCTGCTTGTCCGAATTACATTTGTTCTTCGTCATTTGGTATAACTATATAGAAATATATTCAAATCGATCTTTTTTATAAAAACGCTACTTAAATTTGTTTGTAGCTGAATATTGATTAAAAGAGAATTTAGTGTGCAATTTTAAAGTACTAAGACTAATGTAAATTGCAGCTTGAATTTACTCAGTCTGATCATAAAACTGGAAATTATATATGCAACCATTTGTATCTATTCTTATAATGAAACCAGCCTTCAGCATGTACTATTTTCAAAATACTTGTAATAGTTTTCTACAATGTGAGAAAATATGTATAAATAAAAAATGTATTAAACGGTAAACACAAATCTATTTTATTCCACCAAATAATCAAATAATATCTATACTAATTATTCTTTTTATACAATTAGGCATATACTTTTCCTTGTAAGAGAAACTGATTGAAAGGAAATAAAAGCAACAACGTACTAGTTCTTGTAAAAACTGTAGTATTTCTTCGCCGTTTTTTATTATTATTAATTTAATTTATTTTTTTATTATTATTTTTATTTCTTTAATTTTTTAGCTGAATACATTCCTAAAATGCATAGAGTTGTAGTTTAGTAAACATTGGATATTTGGAAAAGCACATGCCAGTATTACCCCTTCATTACAACTTTTTTTGGAGTATCTCAAGTTGCTTTGTTAACCTCATTAGTAGTGGATCGTTACTTTATTATAGTGCGATATAACAGAAAACTGTCAAATTCGTTTTGACGGATTATTTTGACAATTACAACTTCGTTCCTGTTTGGTTTCGGTAGGGCTTTAGGGCCACTTGTCAGTTGGTCAAGCTATGAAGGAAATTAAAGGAATAGCATGTTCTGTCAGTTGGGAAATTAAAGACAATAATCATCTTTCATATACATTCAGTTTGCTCACATTTGGCTGGTTTATTCCACTAATTATCATTAAAGCTGTTTAAAGTGGTTTATATGAATTAATTATGACATGTTCTAACTTTTTCACGCACAATTTATCACATAAATTGTTTGATCTAAACGTACCATTATTATTTGCAAGAAGTAAAAGCACATGAAAACAAACCATCTACAGGACTAAAGC